CAAACTGCCTTCAGAAATAAGTCGGCATTCTCGAACTCAAATGACGAATATGGTATGTTGGATGACAAAATTTAGAAGGAAAATATACGGGGTGTCTGCACTGATCTCTACGGAAAATTTTCCGTAGAGATCAGTGGGTGTCTAACTGGAGCTGGAGGTACAAAGATCAAGAGAGTATAACTCCTCGATCATTAAGATGATGGAGATGATAACGACTACGAGGATGATGAGACTGATGATGATGGTGATGCTGAGATCATTGATGATGCGTAGGAGGAGGTGGAAGGAAATAGTGATTTTTTTTCCCCCTTACTTTTCTTGCCCTAATTCCCCCCCCCCCCCGTTATTGTGTCTAATTATATCTCCTAATTACTTATTAATTGAATGTTACCAGAGGCGGCGGAGCCGGGGGGGGGGGCAGTGGGCAGTGTACAGTGCCCCCACGCTTTCGAGTACCCCTGAAATGCCCCTTCATTTTATACTTTAGATAAGTGCCCCTTTTTATTTATAATGGGTGCCCCGTTCCACATTCATATAAGTGTCTCTTTCCCCCTCTGATAAGTGGAATGGAATGGTGGTGGTTATTTTACCTGACTGCTAAGAAAGCATTAATGCTTGTAAGTAAGCAACCAGACGGCCGACGGCTTTAGGTCCTCTCCGAGGGACCTGGTGATGAGAATTAATGCCTTACCAAAGGGCATTAGCGCATCGCCTTGGTTTCGAACCCGGGTCACCGGATTATGAGACCACTGCTCTACCGACTGAGCTATTGCGCCTCCTCGAGGTGAGTGCCCCCTGCACCTATGACAATTACACCTATTCAAATCCGAGAGGTGCCCATTTTACATTTTACATTTTAACAAGTGCACTTTTCTTTTGAAATAAGTGCCCCTTCCCTTTATGACAAGTGCCCCTTCTCATCTGATTGCTACTTCTTACCTCTGATATGTGCTATTTTTCTTTATAACAAGTGCCATTTTTTGATAAATGCCCCTTTTCTTTTTTAATAAGAGCCACTCCCCCTTTTCCTAAATACCCCTCTGACACCTCTGATAGATGCCTCTATTAAAATCTCGTAGGTGCCTCTTTTCCTTCGGGAAGTGTCCATTTTCCTCAATTGTAATAAGTGCTCCTTTCCATCATTTTCATCGGAGTGCCTCTTTTCAAACCGAGAGGTGTCCCTTATATTTTGACAATTGCCTCTTTCCCTTTGTATGCCCTATTTTCATTCTTATAAGTGCCCCTTTTTAGCTCCGATGAGTACACTAACTCAAATTTGAGATGTGCCCTGTTTAAATCTGTAATAAGTGCCCCTTTTATTTTGACAAGTGCCCCTTATCCTTTCTATTTAGTGCCCCTTTTCCGTTATCATAAGTGCCTTATTTTCATTCAGGTGAGTGCCCCTTATCGGGTGCAAAATGTGCCCTATTTTCACCTTTGACAACTCCCCTTTTTACTTTTACATGTTCCCTTTTTCTTTTCTGATAAGTGACCTTTTCCCATTAAATGTGTGCCCCTTTTTCCTTTCACCATAAAATGTGCTCCTAATCTAAAACGACTAAAAGACATTTTTTCCTTAATTACAAAAGCTCGCTCATTACGCTCGCTCGCATTTAAAAATTAAAAAAAAAAACTATGTTTCTTAACAAAGATCTTTCCCGTCTGTCATGATCAAATTGTGCTTAAAACCCCATTAGAGTTGTTTTTCCTCTTTATGAGATGTAATCTTTAGCACTGCGACCTTACAAATCTTTAATTTTGTGCTCGCTCACTTCGCTCTCTCGCAAATAGATATTCAGACAATCCCATCAAACTGCAAACTATGATGCTTAATCAGTATTTTGGACCATGTTAAGAAAGAATTTAACATTTCAATCACTCTTGATAATGTGATCACAATGTAGGGATATAATACCAATGTCTAAAAATGGTATATTTTCGCGTTGAAGTTTCCCTTTGTAGGTGCCCCCCCCCCTTTCCTCCAAAAAGTGCCCTCCCTCACCCCCTCCCCCCCCCCCCCATTCGGAAGACACACTGCAACCCCTAAATGTTACACTGAGGTATTTTCCCAAAGATTTAACAGAATGAAATGTACAATAGGCGGGAAGAATAAATCTGTTATCTAACATATTCAAATTTATAGATGTTCCTTTTCTGGGGAGCTGGTGACGTGTTATTCCATTATGTACGTGTTATTAATGAATGAACTACAATAATTGGAATCCAGTCTGCATACGTTACTTGTTACTATGTCGGGCAATCCTAGGGCAAGCTTTCAGGTTGTCAAGAACAGCCTTTGTTTAGCAATTATGCATGACATTTTAATATGTTAATACAAACCGGTTTATTGAGGGGCTTGAGCCAATGAGCAACTGAAACGCAGGAGAGTAACAATTGTTAATTGGGGGGGGGGGGTAGATATGCCTATATGAATGTCACTTGAATCGTCTGGGCATATATCCGCGAGATCCCCTCTTGTTATAATCCCACCCCCCCCCCCATTTGGTGTTATTTAGGGTACGCATATGCGTGTTCCCAGCACCCCCCCCCCCTTTCAGCGAAAGTCCGGTGTGTAAAGTCAATACGGGGAGACCTTTTTCTTTTGTTACGAGCCGGAGATTTTGGGAACACGCATGATATCCCTCCGTTCCCGGAGTGGGGGGGGGGGGGGCATCTCTTCCTATCTCCCTCCTTTTCCCTGCCTCTGTCCTCTGTTTATATGTCTCACCGTTTAAATCTCTTTTATATGATAGCCGAGAAATATACGTTTTGCTACCTTTTACAAGTATCTTGTCCAATCTCTTTGCAACTGAATTTGTGTCAGTCTGCTAACAGTAAAGATTCTTGAGATAAAGAAGAAAAAATCGCGAGGCATATGCAAAAATGAAAGCAAGACCCATTAACCCCCCTCAAGTATTGTATTGCATTGAAACAAAATACGAAGTATCTGTTTCCTAAAAGAATAACATTTAACTCGCATTCTCAAAATGTTCCTCTTTTCATCATGCAGCAGTTTAAGATAGATAGATAAGGTAATTCAAACACAATTTATTGAAGGGCTTTTCATTTTTACTTGAAATATTGTTTTCCAATATCCGGCCCGTTTTATTCGGCAATTGTGCGTACAAATAACCTCTGCAGCTAAGTTAGTATCCCGAATTATAGCAACCGATGAAGACCAGATCGAATGATTACAAGTACAACATCAGAAAGTCGTGGAATATTTGTGCTACTTGCAAATTTATTGATTTCATTTAGCATTTAAGAAACAATTAAGACAGTGCATTATGAATTGATATCCATTCACATTTCAATAAATGAAATCTTATTGGCCCGAATTCACAAAGCAAGGTTTGAGCTCAGACCAAGGTTTAAGCTCAAACCTCCTTTTGTTTCGCCAAACCTCCTTTTGTTCTTTACAAACCAGGTTTGTAAAAAAACGCGTAAAACGCGTCATATGACGTACGAAAACCAAGGTTTGTCGACAAACCTCCTTTGTGAATTCGGGCCATTATGTTTTGTATACTAATATAAGTTCAACTTGAAATGTAGTCAACGATTGAACCCATAAATTATAATTATCAAAACAGCAAACACTGCAATAATTTCATGATTTGTCTGTGTATACTGTTTTATTTTTCTTCTTCAAAAAACTTGTTTCCATCTTGATCACAGCCCATTAATGACTTCGTTGATGAGCAAGCTTAGAACCTCACCTAAAATGGTGTTTCATATCAAAGATTATATACCTGCTTTTAGTGACCACTTGTCTACAAAGACCATCTGTCTTCAAGGACATTTTTTGTTTCCCTTGAAAATGGTTTACAAAGACCACAGGTTTGACTGTATTTTGACAGACAACACAAATCGAAATTCCGAATGAATAAAAATATTAGAACAGTACTTATAGGAAATAGTATTATATCACCTTAAACATCCATATACATAACATCGTATAGAGTGAAGACTGGATTATTTGCAAATATAATGACGAAGAACAATACATATAATATACCTACGATTTTAGATATTGTTATCATCGTAATGATATTAAAACTTTGTGTTCCTTCGATCGTTTTCATAATTTTATATTATTAACTTTTTGTCGTCATATATCATGCGTCTTGGAGTGCAAGCGATTATCCGTTAGTGTGTTACTCGACTCATATGTGATAATAATATATCTCAGTATGTACCAAAGTCATAAAAACTTTCAATACAATTAAAAAGATAAATGAAAAACACGATAAATCATGCAAATATGAGGTCTAAAAAAGAGAAAATAAGCCCCAAAATATCTTTACACATAACAATTTAATAACATTTAATGATATTATGTGAAAAATGTAAGTTTAAAAGTTAAAACCCAGCTAGTCACCTAAAAAAACCCACCTTTTGTAAGATAAAACAGGTTATGCGATTACATGATAATCAATTTGTGCCAAACTGAAGTGCCTTAACTTGAATGTGCAATATAGGTTCACAATACATTTTTATTGTAGTTTCAAGAAATATTATCACTCTAAGTATGAAGTAATGATCATGAGATGATAATATTAAGTCCTGCCTTTGAGATTACCAAAAAAAATAGGCCCGTCTATGAATAACGAACGTTGTCCTATCAATAGCAATGTAATCTAAAATAAATGAGAATTAGTAACTTCAGAATCGTTATTTACAAAATTTCTTCACAATCAATTTTATTTCAATTGAAATTTTCATAGTAGGCCTATGATATTCAGGAAACATGTATTATTACAAAACACCAGTTTACCTATTTATCAATTTCATATCCAAAAGCCAAATGAGACGACCTACCTGGCGATTTGGATAACTTGCATTATTAGTTGGTTACATGTCTGACAAACCTCCGGCAAAGCCTCTGGACATCACATTTTGTTACACTTTCATCGTAACAGATATCAACAGCATAATACGCATACAAATTGAATGTACATAAACTATAGTCAATGCTCCATGACCATCCTGCGATATGATCTTTAAAGAAGACGATCACCCACAACCCCATACACGCACACACACTTTTTTCTTCTTTCTTTTATCGGCTAATTAACAAGATTATTTGGGGGACTTATTTCTGCTAGTTGAAAAATGCTGAATAATCCAATCCAATCCAATCCAGGTATTTATAAAGCGCCAATATCTAGTTGCCTAATCAAAGGCGCTGAAGAGACTGAACAACTACCAACAAAGTCTGTTTATGATTCTAACTGGGAAAGACAAAAAAGCAGAGACTAATTATTGTAAGCAATCCGAAATAGGTATATGTCTTTAGTCGAGTTCTGAATACTTGCAGCAAAAGCTTTTAAAATAGAATTTGAGAACTTATTCATAAAAGATTACACATCATTATTCTGTACTCCTTCTCTTCCGTTCTCGGCGAAGGACACGCCCCTCCCATGTCCTCTAGTATGCAAGTGCAATGTATGTCCCATATAAGTTACTGAATACTATGATGTATTATGGCATCGTGAACGCGAAATTACATAAACATTAATTATTTTGCTGAAAGATTTTGATAAATGTTCCAAATTCCAGTAGGGCTATCAGCTAGATACAGTAAATACAAATCTTAGATGTGGCGATCGCTAACGTAAGGGAGAAAATAGCTTGGACTAGCTGATCCATATATAAACCTGACTATTTTGTTCTGTTCCTTATCCCCAAAACATTCTAGTCATCGCCCAGTTTATTCTCTTTGTTAGTGGTAGTCCCGCACTTATATGTGTCCCTTCTATCCAGCCAAGGGCGTAAGTCAAAGGGCGGGATAACATTGAAGTCCTTACAGCTCACACGTGCGTTACTGAAATCAGGAAAGGCGCCTTTTTTGTCGGGATACTCGTGCGTGGCGCTGTAGTCGGCGAAAGACTCAATCCCCCTATACAGGAAATAAATATTGGGAGAGGGATATTTGTTACAAAAGGTGCTCTACTTATGAATGCTAGAAACAGATTTATTGGTTTATCTTCTGCCATAACCATGGAAGTATAAAGTAAAGAACATTAATATTCCATCACGTTGCCTGGAAAACAAACATTGGAAAGATTATCTTTAACATAAGAATAAAACAGTATATATAAATACAAAAAGTTATCAATAATGAATGATGATGACGAAGGTAATAATAACAACAATCGATTTTCTTACCCTGGTTGTTTATCGGCGCTATGGAAGACGAACGGTTGGATGGTGTCGATTGTGTCCAGGGTCTCACAAATCACCCTGGCAAACGTCATCTGACGAATAGAATTCCTCTGATCTATACACGGAACAAATAAACAGTGAGTATGAAACACAATTTTGTATTCAACCGAGGACCATGCAGTTATGATTTATGTTATTAAACATGGTTTCAAAGATATTTTGTTTTAAATCAAGTTAAGGTAATTTCAATATCTGATGAATATTTCTTTTTGAGAATTTTCGTTGTAAAACGACACCCCAAATTCTCATAACCGTGTTCTTGTCATCATATTCACGTGTCGAATTCTGAGGAATATAGTGTCCCCTATTTTACAAAATCCTGGACCAGCCCTTGACGAAATTCAGAATACTTACTCGGTTTAAGAGCCTGCACACCAGCGGGATTCTCGTACCAGAATCTATCGCCGAACTTGAGGTCGTGGAATTGCTTTCCTAAGATACAACCCACAGTTTGACCTACGAGAGCGCCATTTATTGGTTCTTCGACGACCATCCCAATAAATGCATCAATGTCATCAACATGCCTGCAATCGTTAGACAAAACAAAACAAGTTATTTCATAGCTTGGGACAGAGAATACAAACATTCATGACAGAACTTGGGAAAAGGTGTTTGCTTTAATCATCACTCTGACGAAAGATTATTTGCAAACGATAACTAGAAGAAGATGTCTTCCTGTTTTACCTTTTCTTTATTTAAATTATGTGTCTTAAAAGTATTATACAACGTTAATTAAAATCCAGTGGATGAAAACTAATTTTTCGGCGGACATAATTGTGGAAAAGGTCGGACAACAATTGCCAGATACATAACCGAACAGTCCATATAATTTTTAAATTCTTTACTACAAGTCATGTTCTCACGTGTATGCTATCTTCAAGACGTCGATGGTTTCCGGTGACATCACGTCACCGAGTTCGTCGAAAGAGGAAACATCCGGAAGACCACAGAAAGAACGCCATTTTGTGTAACCAGGGAGCCCATGGTCTCGACCACGCTGTGTGTTGATGGCTACCAGATCTAGTCCGAAGCTATATAAATATATTGAAGATTAGTAGTGACTCTGTGAAGGAAAACCTTGAAATTACAATAAACAAGTACAACTTCGTTTTGTTCTCAATGTATGTAATATACCATCGGAAATGATGAACAAAAAGTTCTCGTGGGAGAGGGAAGGGGATACGACAATACGCAACTCCAAAAACTAAAACGCATCTTCGGACTTAAATTGTTTTAAGGGATATACGGAACAACAAGAATATACGATTTAAGAGTGATTATTTTTTTGTCGGCGCTTTGAAAAGTGTTGTCTATGTGGGCATTACTGATAAAGGCGTGGCCATAATGTTATGGTATGAGAACGATGAGGACTTTCCAAAGTATCTTTTGACCAAAATCAGATGGCACAAAGTATACCTTAATACCAAACTGCGAAAACTGCAAAAGAATATAAGTTATCATATATGAAACTGCTGTTGATACCTGTTAAGTGGATCAGCAAATAAGAACCTTGTGACGTCCTCACTAAAGAACCGATCAATCTTCTCGAGCGGCTGGACCAACATTCCTCGTACTATGCTATCTATGCCGCCATTTAGAACGTCGTGAAGTGAGCTGCCATTGAAGAATGCTAACCGCAGTACGACAGGGTCGTACACCTCTCTGTAGCGGACATCTACCCGAGTGAGGTTAGAAGAGACCTGACTGTGACCCATCCGGAAAGCTGCATGAGCGAAGACGTTCGGCATGGTGGGGTCGAGGTTCGCCTGGTAACCGCGGTAGGGATAACCGCTACCCACACTCAACCGATACCGCTTCATTAAGTCACTGCCAAGCGTGACCGGTAGATATTCGTTATACGATATGTGCTGCAAAACTGAGGAGACGATCTTTCGTGTTTCCAGGAAGACGCGTTCGTTACCCCAGTGCGGATTCATTGCGGAGAGCTGCTTGGCGATTTCGTTGTGGTACCGCATGAAGATGGTATGGAGTGTGGTTAGTCCTTCCTGAACCGCGGCACGTTTGTCTCCAGCCTTACCGCAGGGAAACTCGGAATCTCGGCTATCACATTTGGCGTTTTCTTCATCGTCTGGCAAGAATGTCTTGAGGGATGCGTCGAAAGGGTTCTTACGAGCTCTTAAGAGACCTGAGGAGAAAACAATATCGTTCTTTTTTACTGAACCGTGCAAAAAGTATTGTTGAATGTAAATGCTCTTTCAGAACGCACGGATGATCCGGTATGAATATTGGTTATCGTTTAATGACACACGCCACAAAGAAAGCGTGATTGAATTAACAAGCCCAACGATAAAGGGTGAAGAGATACGGAAAAGTATTTTTGGAGAGGTAAATTCTGGAGAGGTAAATTCGGGAGAAATTAATGGCTCTTTCACTGAAGAAATTTTAAATTCTACATTTTCTTCCATGATCTATCTTTACAAGAAGAACCTTAATATACAGATTCATTTAGGATATTTTTAATCAAAAAGAAGAGACGTACGTAGTGACGGGATGGAGGTGTGACCCGTCCCTCACCTACATTTTTTTTTTGTGTGTGGTCCAGGCCTTCGAATCTCGCGCAAGATTCAATAGCCTTCATCAACAAATCACAGTGCTCCCACTACCACGTACCTCCAGAACCCCTCAGATTAGCCTGTACACTGGCCGACGATCCGTATAGAATGGAACCATCGATGAAAGTTGTGATCTGATTAAGTTGTTCCCTGGGTTGGTCCACACATCCGGGTCCTGGAACTGTTTTTGAGCGTGAGAGAGGTAGACAGCGGGTCCGGAAGGCTGGATCATCGGATGGCACCGCGATAGGGATGCAGTTATCTTTCGTCTCGCAACCACACGTGTCTAAAGGACAGAGCGGTAAATGCGTCATGAAAATAAGGAACAACCTAATATTGAAGGATACCCACACCATACAGGTAACCTTTATCTTGACCGTAGAGCCTAACCCTGACACTAACCATCTACATAACCCTAACCCTAACCCCAATCCTAACCCTAACCATAATCAAAGCCATGCCCCTTATACACTGTTCTGACAGATGGATAGGTATTGTAGTAAAATATTGGCAATAATCTGGGTTTGGCCTTTAATATACAAACATCTTTAATCATTTGTTACAAGTAATATGTTACCACCCACATGGGAAATATTATTTTATACGGCTAGGGTTGTGGATATCGATCATTGTATTTTAGGTTTGGTTTAGTGTTTGATCTATGGTTGAAGATAGGAATTCGGCTAGTGTAGGAGAATACGAGGAGCAATTATTGTCGCAGGAGTAAGTGCCGTACATATCTGCATCAGCACCACTCGCCGAGTCTATGTCAACGTTCTTGTCGGCCCTCAAGACTTCCCTTTGCAAAGCTACGACATTATCTAAAGAATAATTTGACACATTGACTAAGAACATTGAATTTCCGTAGTGCAAGCGCCATGAGCGCCCAAGCATAATGGGGATGAAGTAGTTATCTACAAGAAGCCACCACCAACAACAACAACACCACCATCATAATCATCCTCATAATCATCATTATCTTTCTTGTAAATATTCCTACATAATATTGTCACGTTTATTTACATTTAAACACCACGCTGGTTTTCATCAATATAATACATAAGAAAATAATAATTACTTGGATGAACGGGTGTGTGGCCTACGTCATGGTCAAGAAGTTGTCCAAAGTGCATGGTCATGGCGGTCAGTCGTGGGACGAGGACAGAGTCGTTCCTGACCACGATGTTGGTGATTTCTCTTGTACTCGGTAATGTTCTGCCGCCTTCTGCTTGATGCAAGGAACCAATGCCTAGGAAACAAATACAGTGACAGGTATGAATACACAAATGCGTGGGAGGAGAGAGTAAAAAATAACTTTTCCACCTATACGTGATAATGATGGTTATTACCTAATCAAGTAACATTTCGGAGGGTTTGATCCAGAAATAATAATGTAGAAATGGTGTTTTTACTTAATAATTATACCGTCATTGGCCTCACTCGATGAAAATTAATGCACATTTCAAAAGCTATCGATTTCGGGAAGGGCGTGGAAGTGATAATATTCATCTCTTTCCACGTTCCTTTACAGTTTTTTTTTTTTTTTTTTTTTTTTTTTTTTTTTTTTTATATCTCTCTCTCCCTGTCTTTTATTTTGTTGTCTCTTTCTTATGTTTTATTCGATTGGGGGCATATTTCCCCTGCTCCCTGTTATCTATGCCACTGGCTCGGCAGCCTTCGGGAGCCCACGGCAAAGATCGGCAACCAGATTCGGCAATTGAAGGGGCATTACACTACTGGTTTGAGAGCTCCCGGGAAAGGTCGGCACCCACATTCGGCAATGAATGAGAAGGGCCAGGGGCATTACTCTACTGGTTCGGAACCCAGACTCGGAAATTGAAAGGGCATTACAATTCTGGTTCGAGAGCCCTCGGAAAAGGTCGGCACCCACATTCGGCAATTAAAAATAAGGGGCTTAACGCTACTAGTTCGAGCGCTCTCGGGAAAGGTCGGCACCCACATTCGGCAATGAATAAGAAGGGCCAGGGAAATACGCTACTGGTTCGGGATCCCTCGGTAAAGGTCGATACCCACATTCGGCAATGAACAAGAAGGGGCATTACGCTCCTGGTTTGCGAGCCCTCGGCAATGGTCGGCTCCAACATTTGGCAATGAAAAAGAAGGGGCGTTACGCTACTGGTTCGGGAGCCCTCGACAAAGGTCGGCACCCACATTCGGCAATGAATGAGAAGGGGCATATACGCTACTGGTTCGGGAGCCCTCGACAAAGACCGGCACCCACATTCGGCGGTGAATGAGAAGGGCCAGGGGCATTGCGCTATACTGGTTCGGGATCCCGCGGCAAGGTCGGCACTCATATTCGGCAATGAATGAGAAGGGGCATATACGCTACTGGTTCGGGAGCCCTCGACAAAGACCGGCACCCACATTCGGCGATGAATGAGAAGGGCCAGGGGCATTACGTTATACTGATTCGGGATCCCTCGGGAAAGGTCGGCACCCGAATTCGGTAATAACAAAAGAAGGGGCTTTACACTACTGGTTCGGGAGCCCTCGGAAAAGTTCGGCCCCGAATTCGGCAATGAATGAGAAGGGGGCATTACCATCTCCGTACTCTGCAGGAAGGTATCTCTTGTGTGGTAGTCCTGCCTTGCCCAACGATGGATGTAAGAGATTGTTACACGACCCGTCAGCTGTATGGTAGAGCATCCGGGTAGATACCATACAAGTCTCCGGCTTGATGAAGTAACCCAGCTCCTCACACAATGATCTCAGATCACCTCTGTTTATTGAATATTCAATTTTGTTGTCAATAATAAAAATACATACATTTCCCATTGTTGCTACATGCATTATAAACATAAATTTGGCAAGGCATTAATCTTCATTTGCCAGACTCGATCCATTAATTCCTTGAAATGCTGGAGCGCTCTAATGGCAGCTAGGCTAAAGCCAGGGTAATAATAAGTGCGCCTCGAAATAGAATTTCTAGATAGACGGCGCTATACAAATGCCTATTACAGTAAATGGTATCGTGTGCTGAGAGACAGAAGAGCTTTAACACTGTTACATTTCGATAATTCAAAACTGCTCCGAAAACATTTATCTAATTAATTGTTACCGTACTTAGTAGTTAATAATTGTTTTTGTTTTTTTCTTACCTTTCCTTAGCGCGTTCAGACCTTTTTGAAAGTTACAGTAATGCGCTATATTACTGTTCCTTTAATATCATTGAGCTGGAATTTCCACTCGCTTTACTTACTCTTTTGAGTGTGGATTCATTCAGTATTTTCAAGCAAACGAAGTGATCCCTAATGACTCTCTCTGAAATGAATTTCCACTCAAGTTCATATAAGCCTCGTTCACCAATGAAGCGGTAAACCGCGGCCATTTTTGTTGATGCTGACGTAAGTATAACGCATTTCTGTATCTTAAGTCACAGATATATTGCGCGTTAATAGAACTTTTGCTGTGAGCAGTTGCCATTCATGCATATACAAGTTTTTTTGTTTTTTTTACCGCGGTGTTTTTTTTAATAATGCGGTTTACCGCGTCATGTTTGAACAAGCCTTGTACAGTAAGGTATCATTACTCACGATGATTCTGCTGATCTCTCATCCCTGTGTCTGATGTCCGTACCGTACCAATGAATCATCGATTCTGAATCTCGTTCTAGAATCAGTCAAAACAAAAACAATCCAAGATAAAATTATCATTGCCATATATAATGGCATGTGGCGTTACACGAACAACAAAACAATCTTGTCATCTTCATGTGTGTGTATGTGTGTGTGTGTGTGGGGGGGGCTGTGTGTTTGTGGGGGGGCTATGTGTGGGACGATTGTATCATTCTGTCGTGTTTCTAGGCTGGATAATGTTTGCATAATTCAATTGGTAATGAAAAAGGCTATGTAAATTGATTTTTGAAAGTCTAATCCATCGACGTGTGCCATTTTAAAATTTGCATAATAATGTAAATAACAATAATTATTATGTGCACTCGTTACTTACCGTGATGTTCATGGTTACCGTAGCAACTAGTTAAGATGCCAGACGCCACTGCTAAGAGGACAACGGTAATTCTTTTCAACCTGTCAACATTCAAACATAACACGGAAATGAAAAGATTATGATTATCTATATTTATTATTGACAAATATTTCTCTCTGCCCTCTCTTTCTCTCTCTCTCTCTCTCTCTCTCTCTCTCTCTCTCTCTCTGTCTTTCTCTCTCTCCGTGGTGTAGGGTGATACCAACGTAAGAATGCACAACTGAACAATGCAAAACAGGTCAACGATATCGAAAGAAGAAAATGAAAAGAATGCATGCAGACAAAAAAAATACGTCATTATTAGTTTGGAAACATCTCATTATAAAACAAAACTTGGCAGTAATTGTTATTTTATTTCTGCAAAAGTCGTTAATCATCAGGATATAACACTTCAAAAGAGTTTTCAGCATTTTTTGAGGGGTTTATTATAATAGTACTTGAGTCCATCGTTCAGATGGTGGTGGCAGGTGGCGGGGAATATAACGATGTTTTGTGATAAATTGCGTTTCTTTTAAAAGAGAACATAGCTTGGGGATTTCTCTTTCTTAGAGCAAACAAAGAGATTCGTGTCAGTAAAATAAACTTTGAAAAGTAGGGCGGGTTACGTCTCTAAAAAGTGCATGTTTTCAGGATCCTCTACAATCACACCACGATTGATATGTGCATGCTACGTTACAGAAGGTTAAAAAAGGAAAATTAAACCCCACAAACTTTAGCTGATAGTCTTTAAAACAATATCTTGAAATCATTCCTATTTGATTACTAAGCAAGGAAAACAATCCATCCAAAGTTTGAAAGTTTCTTGTTATCCATTCTCCTGTTGGGGTCGCCATTTGTATTAAATTCGTGATGTCGGAGTAGTAAAACTTGGGAGAACACCACTGACCTGTATTTTAGTTACTATGCAGGACACTGACCTGTAAAATGCGTGACAATGGTTACCTAATAATAGAACTTTGTGTAATGTATTAATTTGGGTATGGGTTTAGACGCTTCAGCCGCACACCCCCGTCCAAACCAAATCTGAGTACCCCCCCCCCCGGGGGGGGGGGTGTTGACACAGCCTTTCGTAAACGCATGATATACTGAAAAACATGCAGATTTATTTTAGCTGAATTTATTCTATACCAGTTGGCATATAACCTTTCTGCGTACAGTGTCAACTCCAAGAAGCTAAATTACTAGACCCTTTGCCCCTTTGTTCGAAAATTGGTATAGATTTAAACACTAAGAAACAGACGTCGCAACAAAGTGGTTATTTTGTTCTTGTCGTTTGTCGGTCGGGCTTTGATCTCAAGCTGCCTTAGGGATATGGGAAGAAAATAATTACATAGACAACATGTTTGTCTGTTTGCTTAGACGATCGGATCTTTGGAAATAGCAATGTGATTTTGCTATCTATATGTAAAGGGAGAAATAATCAGCAAAATGAAATGACTGCGTTTGAAAGTAATATGGATAACAAAATATGAAATATATTCTTTTACGTATTATTAACGTTTACATCTGGATTAGTATTTTATTTATTTTCATTTTATTTTATTTATTCATTAGTTTTTAATCTTCATTTTTTTAAATACTAAAAACATATCTTTTATCACTTTTATTTAATTTAATTTCTTCTTTTTCTCTTTATTCTACTCTTTTTTTTAAGGGGGGGGGGTGGGTGGTGTTAAAAATAAGCTACTCGTTGCTGTCATGACTCTTAAAAGTACTTCAAAACCTGGATCACCGATTCTTGTATTCCACAGCGCAAATTTCAATGGGAAAACCCCCTAAATATTTATTTTACCAAGACAAAAGAAAAGAAAACTTAAAGATATTTTTTTTCAATAACGTTTGCCTCATATCGCATTCAAATTGGAACTGTATATCTCATTACACCAAAAAATGATATGCGTCGTTGAAAGTGATCAATTATTTCAAGTATTATCATTTTACCAAATGTCACATTGGCAGCAATCCAATGATTAACAATGAATGAAATACGTTGCTGATTGCAAACAAATATTGATATATAGCGTGTCGGACCTGAACATCGACTTGGATAAAAGAAGGAAAATATGGAAGACGTGATTTATAAGACCGTGTTGTTATAGATCACGACAGGTGAGGCTATTATACAATCAAACTTGGATATGTAATCCGCCTTCTCCTTTCTTCTCCTTATTTTGAGTGAAAAGGGATTGAATAAAATGCATTGAAATATCTCACCCCTGCCTACATCATGATAAATTAATTTGAGGGGGAAGGTACGTGAAAAAAAAATATCGCATTAATCATTCTAGCCCTAATTACAAAGAGTTCCAGCAGGTCCTTGCACCTTGCAATTTCAAAAGAGACATATGAATACGAAATAATGGACGCGATAATTAAGCAAGCAAGTACTTGGAAGGCTTCCAGCTTCACACATTTGAGCCTAGCCTAGTTCCAGCCGAACCATTTTCTCAATTCCTTAAAATATTGTCATACAAATATGTATTATATATACTTTTCTACAGTTTAGTCGCTATCACGTTGTTGCAGCACGTTTCCAACCTCTTTACTTTTAAGTTCCCTTTCCCCTTTCCTTCCCTGTTCCGTTTGTATAATGATAGTAATATATAGCCTAATAATAATAATAATAATAGTATCTATTAAATAATCATCATCGCAGCTCGAGAGCTGAAATACAAATGATTTTTTAATAAAAAAATGAATGAACTTAATCAATTGCAAACGGCGTAAAACATAAACAAAATATTTCAAATGGTTGGATTTTATAAAGGCTTACACCCAACACAAGCCTATGCTTAATGTCTCGATTCGTTCTTCCAAAAGTATTTTCATGGTATTGAATATAGATCCTATTATTATATTATTCAATTAATATGAAGCAAAGCAAGAAAAACAAAACAAATTAGAAGAAACTAAACGTTTCTTCGAACCTAGAGACTTTAATGTAATTGAAGGTATATAGGTTTTTTGAAGACTTCATGATACTTGCGATGTTAATATAGTTTACAACTAAATTATTCATACCCCTGTGTTTTTCGTAACAGAGGTGGACCGGTTGAATTAAGGCCTTTGTTGAATACTCTTAGATGTACGCTTTGATATGTCACATAATTAAAAAACATAAATCAGGAAAATCATGCTTTCAAAAATATAGTTTAAAAATTACAAAATTTGGTAAGGGTATGAATAATTAAGTTGTTAACTGTATATCCATTGAAGAGTGTTTGATGTCTTCACCATTCTCCCCTATTTGAGAAAAAAAAATTCAAATAAGTATTTTCATTGCAAAGATGTCTGATACCAAAATCCTACCCGATCATATTTGGTTTTATTCTTCAAGTATGAACACATGAAAATCTGAAGAAAAGGATCTTCCATGACCTTTCAAATATAGGCATATACTAGTTGTTTGTTGTATGCATGCGAGGCTGATAATATAAGACAAATATTCTGGAAATATGCTTCCTTTTCTTTATACATCTTAGAACATGTTACTTAGCAGATTTTTGATTGGGTTCTTATTTCTTGAATATATATAGTTGTTGTTTCATCTTTTAGACAATAAAAGTCGGAGACAATTTAATTCCTTATATAGGTCCCAAAAGATGGGTGGGAAATTTGCAGAAGAACAAATAATAATAATAATAATAGCTCGTTCTTATATAGCGCGTTTCAGGACCGGAGGCCCTCACAAAGCGCTTTACAGATATTATTACCCCGGTCATTGGATTCAGGCTTACCCGCACACAATGTATGCACATTCTCCACTCCCTGGGGAGCATTCCAGCCAGGCGTCATTTGTACATGCGCACACTTGCTAATCTAACCACATTAGCTTTCGCATCCTACCGGGTACCCATTTAACACCTGGGTGGTGAGTGGCAAATGTAGATCAATGTCTTGCCAAAGGACATTAGTGCTGCGGCGGGACTTGAACCACGGACCTTGTGATCCACAGTCCGGCGACTTATCCACTCGTCCACAACACCTCTACAAATGACGGTATACAGGTAAGCAGGTATCAGCTTTTTCATCTTTAACCACATTTTGATCTGTCTAGTTATTTCATGAAGTTTATTTCCTCTGAGGTTTAGACTTTAAGGCCCGAATTCACAAAGGAGGTTTTATCGACAAACCTTGGTTTTCGTACGTCATAATTATGACGCGTTTTTACGCGTTTTTTACAAACCTGGTTTGTAAAAACGCGTCGAAACGCGTCATAAAAATAATGACGCACGAAAACCAAAGTTTGTCGACAAACCTCCTTTGTGAATTCGGGCCTAAGAGTTTAAGGTTATATATTGATCTATTGTAAGTTAGTTCTAAGCCATCGTATAAATGCGTTTATTTAAATGTGGTAGTATATAATAGAAATGAGTAGATTTGGAGCATATTCTATATTAGGAGGTAATCTGGGATATCTGGATTGTAGATATTCTTTAGAGTATACCAAACTAAAAGCAAGATGGAATGCATGATGACTTGTGGTGAAATAGATGATGTCATATAGATAGTGGAGCAAATTAGATATAATTGATATGTATAAGGGATAACAGAGAATATTAATTTATATAAGTTCGCAAGAATGTAATGATTGTATTACTTATATTTGTCTGCATTATATTGACAGAGATGGGATACTGTCAGGGAGACGGCAATTACAAGATAGACTTGTTAGGGAGTGCTGCTTTTTATGGTTTCTGTTTTTGTAAATGGTTTAGATTTAAATTTTCGCTCAGAGGATAGGTGTCAGCTACCAGTGCCACTGCGCATAGCCATTTATGAGTACTTGTATGATGCAATGAGTTCATGTGGATATTTTGTGCGCATGGGTGCTTGTATGTGTACCGTTTACGTGTGAATGTGGGTGTGTGCTTTCAGTGGATCAGCCAAGACGTGATTTTTGTTGTTTTACTTTGGACGGCATTTTGGGGGGTAATGCATGGCATCCATGCTCAAACGCTCGCAAAAATCACTAGAAATCAGATAGGGGTGGATGCCATTCACATTTTTAAAAGCTGAAAACGTCATTTTGGGCTCAAAAGTTGAAAGAATGTCAAAAATCATGATTTCAAATTATGACCAAACATGTTTTTATCTCATAAAGACCTTTCAATAAATATAAATTTTATCATAGTTTGAAGTAAGAAACCTGTTAAATATCCTTCCTAAATTACAAATACATGACATTTTCTAAAATTATTATGTTCTTGATCCGTTACCATGGTAATACATCTAGTGGTCATACCCGTCACTAACTTTAGGGAAAACAAACACATTCTGATAGCTAAGGGTTCTAACTAGCAGCAAAACTTCATTTCAGATTGTGTCTAAGGGGGTGTGAGCCATTTTAGTTTTTGTAACATGGACTAATATTGTTAATACTTGTTAAAATTGCCATATTATACGGTACATGTACACTGTAGATGTACATGACTTGTATAGGGCTATAATGCGCATGCGGTAAAAAAATACAACAATTGGTTTGAGAACTTACATAAAACGATTAATTAATCTATCACATTATCTTATCATTTATTTTATGTGTTTAGCATGACAGCATATATTATATATTTAATCAAGAAAAAGGTGGTTCAATTAAAAATGTATGGTGCGTAAACAAAAACATTGCAAATAGCCAGTTTGTATAACCCATATTCTTAGTAAATCATACTTTTATGTGTCATTGTGTCATACATTATCGTAATATCCAACATTCAAATATATATTAACCAGGTTTATAACTTTCTCGGTTCCAAAATTCACTGCTCCCACAGACAAGAATAGGACGGTAGGTTGGTTAGATATAGATATAAATGTACTATTTCATATAGCCTAATCATGATAATTAAAAAGTCTAAAAGAAAAAACTGTTAACAAAAATATCCATCTATCAAGGTATCTTCTTCCGGCTAGGAGGTATATAGATTAAAACATTTTGTCCACATATCTCTTTTTTCTGCCATGATCTTCGTACACTCTTGCAATGTCATTCCATGTTCCCCTCCCAGTTAGTTTTCTGTTTGTCCTCTTGGTCTAGTACCTTCTAATTTTCCTTCCCATAAATCTTCCAAGAAATCTTTCTTGTTTGTTAAGTCATGCATCGTCATTACCTTTATCTGCAGGCGTATGCGAATTGATCACAATGACAAGGGAAACGATGACGAAACAAGAAAATCTGCGAATATACTATACACAGCAATTACATGTTCGTTTAGGAACTCACTCTTTAAAATGACTCAAATTTAAATTGTGAAAAAATAACACTTATTTTACCTTTCTTATATCTGTGGTAAAACTAAACTATCCACAGCAAAAACATGTTTTTTTAGGAACCCACTCTTTGACATGATGTCAATTCGAAACTGAATTGTGAAAAAAACCTTATTTTACCGTTCTTATATCTGTGGTAAAACTAAAATATCCACAGTAAAAACAAGTTGTTTTTTTAGGAACTCACTCTCTAAAATTATGTCAATTCGAATTGTGTAAAAACACTTATTTTACCGTTCTTATATATTATGTGGTCAAAAGTTCTAATTTTATAATTTGCCTGAAAACAGGCTACATTTTGTTTCCCTTGTCATAATGATCAATTTACATACGCCTCCAGACAAGGATAATTATGATGGATGACTTATCTCTCGGGGTGTTTTGATAACGGATTGGTTTATTTCTTTACGCCAATTCTACCATTCAATCGCAATGAATGAAACTTATGATGGGGGACAGGATGGCTAAGTATATCGGAATGACAAAAATAGAAATTGAATGGTAAAGAAATCTTACTCAAGGGCATATTTGAGAAGAAAATATATATATTTTGAAAAGGGATAATGGACGACACTCTTTGCGAGATGGTAAGCAAATTGTATGTTTTCGAATTTCGTAATTATTCTTTCCCTTGCCCTTTTGGGGGCTGATAAACCCATTCATTAACACGAAATAGTGTCATTTACAATTTAATTCTCATTACAAGACCTTTCTTGTTCTACACCTTTTACGTCTCTCTCCTTCATATTCAATTCAACATCTTTCATATTTCGAACAATCTGAAAATAAAAATTGTTAATTACCATTTAAACGGGCCGATGAATTACTACTTTTTCCTTTTCTTCAAAATGTCAGATTAAGACTATATGAACATGCTAAATCCAACACTATAAAAGTGTAATCTAGCATGTTAAAAGTGTTTTGTTAATCAAAACATTTTGAAAAGTTGTCAAAATGGAGATTGACCTTTTTAGTTTTTTTAGAGTGAACTAATCAGCATGATAATTGTTTAGTACGTAGTTCTCTGCGCCGCGCAGTGATCTTCTTTTATAATTCCAGTCATATATTCGGTAATTCATTTATTCATTGTTTTTATTCTCACTTTCTCTCTCATTTTCTCTATATCTTTCGTCCTTCCTTCCTCCCGTCCTTCTTTTCATTCCTTCATTCTATCCATCCCTTGCTCTATTTATTCTCCCTTTCTTACTCCCTCCCTACATCTATATCGTTCTATTCTATTTCCCTGCTCTCTCTCTCTCTCTCTCTCTCTCTCTCTCAATTGGTGTACTTGGGTATCTGAAATAATAATAAGTTTGCTTTTAAATGCTAGGTCAACAATGTCGTGTACTGATACAGCTATATCAAATATAAATAAAACAAATTTACACATTCACTGAAATGTAAACACAACATGCACCGTTTAAAAAACGAATACTATTTTATATAATGCAGTACAGTTCTAATTTCATTCCAAGGTTGGCTAATACTTTTTTTTCAATATAAAGAACGAATAACTGATTGAGATTCAATTATTATGAAGGTAATATTAAAGCAATTCAATAATGTACTAAAATGAATGGATGTTTTCCCCCAAAATATCATATAGTGATTCACCTGCTGTGTGCATATTTTTGCGTCATTGAGGATGGCATCCACCTGATACACATACAAGTTGCTGCTTTGTCAGGCAACCTCTCACGTCGTCAAGAGCAACATTAGTTTTAAAGAAGAATGCATAGCATTTGAAAACATTTGTGAAGTAGTCCATACCAATGATGTGGGTTTTATACATACCTCATTGTTACCAGGAAAGTGTGACTCCAAACGTGCCCGATTTCCAAACAGTACTGAAGAGTTTCTTTAAATTTAGACTCTGGCTATCTGAACATCAAAAGTGTATTTCTATCATGAAAGGATGTCGCTCCGGTCAAAAGTCTTGTTAATTCTGCAGCGATGAAAAGCAAAATCGGCCAGTTATACAATGCAATATTGCAAACACAAACGCACAAATAGATTACAGATAATTATGATCAAAATGACTGTGCCAATTTTGCAGATGAGCAGTTTTATGCTCATCAGCCGACCAGGTGATTACACGATCCACGCTGAAAACATCTCAATCGGGAAATGCTGATGGCTGCAGGGGGCAATAAGAACCAAGTCCTAAACTGCTAGTGAGCATGCACAGATCAATTATCTCTTGACAAGAAGAATGACGAACTGGGGACAGTTTCTCGAAACCGTCGTAAGTCTAACTTCTTGGGCATCCCATTGAAACGTGTTTTATAGAAGTAATATGTGTTTCTATGGGATGTCCACGAACTTAATACTTGTGAATGATTCGAGAAACTGGTCCCTGGTTCTGAAAAGCACGCTCGTGTTTTTCACTAGAACACGCCTCACTGCGTCGAGAAAAAAAGGTGCGATCTAAATGAAAAAAATGGGTGGAACTTTGAAATAATCTAGGGGCAGGTCGATAGAATATGGAAAGGAAGAAAAAGGTTCTTTAAAATCATGATTGATGTATTTAACGAAAAATTCCCTGTACCAGAATTTCTGAACACGATAAAATGTTTTTGCTCTTCTTTGGTGAATTGTTTTCGGATGTTTATGTATAACCTGAAAGACAGAAATCCCAGGAAAAGATTATAATTTTTTGCAGTTATTATACTCGCGAAATAATAACGATTATAATAATGATAATGATTAAAATAATGATAATGATTATAATAATGATAATGATAATAACAACAACGATGATAATAATGATAATAAGACCAAATTAATAGTTGGTCATCTGTATAAACACTTCTTCATGCGGATTCTGCAATTATTAAAACCCCACCATACCCATTTACACCTGGGTATAATACAGCTTATTAAAGGATAAAAGCACCGAGCGAGGATCGAACCCAAGACCTCTCGTATGAGAGTCAATGGCCTTGACCAATATACCACAGTGCTACCAGTCCCACTATTATATAACATATCATAATATTAATACCAATTCGTTACAAAAATTACACAAAAAAACTCGAGTTTCATTGTTGGTATCTCTCTGTGGTCTAGTGGATGAGTCACCGGACTGTGAACTACGGGGTACGAGGTTTGAATCTTTGCTGCAGCGATAACGTCCTTTGGCAAGGCATTAAATAACATTTGCCACACTCCATCCAGGTGAAGAAAGTGAGTACCTTGTAGGATTTATTCCCAGAATGCCCTGAGCGCTACCCTTGCCAAGACTGAAATCGGTGTTTATTATCCAAAAGTCAATTGAAAACGCAAAGAGACATTTTGGGAACAATACGATGTAGCATACATGAACATCATATTATTATTATCATTACTTTGGTGCCCTTGTTATCCAAAAAAAAAAAAGATGTCCGATTTGTAATTGTTGGTAACATTGACAAATCGAATCATCCCGGGTACTTTAATGTACTTGACCAGAACTTTTACAAAGATGAAACCCCTTACGCCTCACTTTATATTTATCCTGAAATTCTTAGAACAGCAGTTGATAGGTCGGACGCGGCGTCGCTTTCCACGACGAAGTCGGCATGAGGTGAGTGGGTGGACTGCTAGAATAGATTATTGCCCATATCATAAATGCTTTAAGTAGATTTAAAGGTCGAGATATATCATATCTTCTGCATGGATGATTATTGTCCTCCTCATTGGTTTCAAGCAACGTTAAGATTATGAAGCTGAAATGTGGTTCCCCTAAACTTAGCCTAAGTCAGGTCCCAGTATTCCAATGAGATGTATGGATTTTGTATCGTCAATAATGAGTATGACTTACTTTCTTTATTAAACTACTTTGTTTTGAGTGTCATATCATTTTGAGTGTTAGATTTTCTCATGTTTATGTATCTAGATTGTCAAATTATGTTCATTTATTCTCAACCATTTCATATCGTTTTGTATGACTCCAATGAGTGTTAAAATAAATGGCTGCAAGGATAAATAAATAAATACAATGAAATTAAGTTCCTCGTGTGATTTTGTAATAGTCTATCCAGTATAGAAATTTAGCCCCTGACTGGCGTACTCACTGCCAATACGAAGACTGCGGATAATTTAGTCAGCAATGGTCCCGAAGTTGTAATATCATAAAAATCTATTTTTAGAATTTCTCAATTTGAACTTCATTTTCCGAAAGAGCATCCAAAATAATGTCCAACTGTCGAAAACAAATTGAATATGTTATATATTGGCTGAGTTATGACCATCCGAATAAAGTTCAATGGGAAATCACTGTTATTTTGCTCTAGTTCGTAATATTCAATTGGTTTTCAACATTTTGACATTATTTTTGATGCTCTTCCGGACATAAAGTTCACATTTGGAAACTCTAAAAGTTAGTTTTTTTGATGACGTCGCACTTGTCTTGATCACTAGTGTATGGGTCTCGTCTATGCTTAGTTATTAATAGCGGCGTCCTGGAGGGGGGGGGGGGGGGGAGACCCCCATCCCCGCAACACTCTAAAAACTGAAATGTTAAATGTCAATTTAAAAGGGCCGAGGAGTGACCACTCTTTCAAAATGTCAGATTGTGCCGTTTAACCTGCTAGATTGATTAGATTCAACCTTTATAGTGTTGGATCCAGCATGTTTAAAGTGTTAATCTATACCATTTTGATAGAGTGGTCACTCCTCGGCCCTTTTAAAATAATGGTGATTTAACATTTCAGTTTTTAGAGTGAAATTATCAGGAGCGATCGGGAGATCGTCGCTACTGTAAAGTCTGAAAATGCAGGAAAGATACATAGCAAAATAGTGTGCAAAGGCTACAACGCACTTATTAAACTGATAAGTTCTCTAAACTTATTTGTAACAAAATACTTTGTTTAGCTGTTTAAGGGGTCAGGCTCGACTAGCACATGTGCTATTATCTGGCCTCTTTTACCAACCAATAGTTTCTCTTTCTGTATATGTAATTATTGTATAAAATGTATGGAATGTATTGCTGTTGGTAAATAAAATAAAATCAAATCAAATCAAATCAAATCAATTATTCTCTAAAGTGCTCTAAAATGCAAATATCATTAAAAAAAATGAATCCCTCTCAGTCGCTATAAGCTCCTTCTCAGAATATTTTTCAGCTTTAAGATGCTATACATGAGGCATAGAGTAACAGCAGTAGATGCACTTTAATCGAGGAAGTATATAACCTTCAAATCAAATCTGCATCTCACGTCGGAATAACAATCAACATAATTCATTTTGCCAAGATTTCGGTCGTAAGGTCAGACAATTATAGTTATAGTTGTCTAAATAGTGAATTCGATTAGTTTAAGCATTTTGATCTACATCATGTTAAGTAATATTAAGTGAAATGTGATGTATAGGTCATTTGATGGAGGTGCAGAGGCATCTCAGATGTTGGGCGAATACAAAAAAAAAAAGAATCAACTACATGTAGAGTCCAATAGAAATCCAGGTAGTCAAACTCTTTTATAATTATAAGTGGCTCTGAATCACGCGAATAGTTGCAGCGCCCCCAATGACTAATACGAGACAAGTTCCAGTGAGGATCGTTATTTTGCAATTTTTTTTTCTTCTCTTGCCCATATTCGTATCATTTCTCTTTTTTTTTTCATTAGCTCATATTTGTTCAAACTATTGGGATGATACAAGAAATAACACGCCCATTTCATATTTTCGTTTAAAATACCCTACCAGGCAGAAAAAGAAGAAGCTGAAAATTAAATGCTTAGGCCTATATAGGCCTTCTTTAATCATGTTAATGATCTTATAGGGGTGTCTCTAAGTAGAAACCACAGCCTAACATGTTTCTAAGATTACATCTCGACTATGTCTTGTAGGTTATTATTAGTTGTGTGTTTCGTATTAATGTAATGTCTATCGTTAATCAATTATAATCGGAACTGTCTGTGTTTTTTGTTGTTGTTTAGCACAATTTCTCTTGTAAAACTGACAAAGGGGCCTACATTTTAGAAATACTTAGTGTTGAACAAAATAGAGATTTGTTGACCTTAAAAAGAAATGAACTAGTATTTTGAAAATATAAGCCTACATGTTTTGTGCTCTTTTCCAACCATGAGAAGCTAGAAAAAGAATAGCTGTACTGGGAAATGAAGAAAAGAAGAAGACAAAGGAGAGAAGGAGGAATAGAAGGAGGAGGAGGGGGAGGAGGGGAGTGTTATGGTATAGTGGTTGATTCACTCCATTCTCAATCCAAGAGTTGAGTGTTCGAATCCAAGCTCGACACTAACGTCCGTTGGCAAGACTTAATCAACATTCACCATAATCCACCCAGATGTAAATCTAAAGACAAGAAGAAGAAAAAGAAGGTGGGGGAGGGGAGAAAGTGGAGGAAGAGGAGGAGGAGAAGGAGGAGGAGGAGGAGGAGAAGTAGTAGGAGGAGGAGAAGGTGGAGGAGGAAAAGGAGGAGGGGGAGAAAGAGGAGGAGAAGGAGAAGGAGGAGGAGGAGGAAGAGAAGGAGGAGGGGGAGAAAGAGGAGGAGGAGAAGGTGGAGGAGGAAAAGGAGGAGGGGGAGAAAGAGGAGGAGAAGGAGAAGGAGGAGGAGGAGGAAGAGAAGGAGGAGGGGGAGAAAGAGGAGGAGGAGAAGGTGGAGGAGGAAAAGGAGGAGGGGGAGAAAGAGGAGGAGGAGAAGGAGAAGGAGGAGGAGGAGGAAGAGAAGGAGGAGGGGGAGAAAGTGGAGGAGGGGGAGGAGGATGAGAAGGAGGAGGAGGAGAAGGAGGAGGAGGAGGAGAAGTAGCAGGAGGAAGAGGATGAGAAGGAGAAAGAGGAGGAGGAGAAGTAGCAGGAGGAAGAGGATGAGAAGGAGAAGGAGGAGGAGAAGAAGTAGGAGGAGGAGGATGAGAAGGAGGAGGAGGAGGAGAAGGAGGAGGAGAAAGAGGAGGAGGAGGAGGAGGAGGAGGAGAAGTAGGAGGAGGAGGAGAAGGAGGAGGAGGAGGAGGAGAAGGAGGAGGAGGAGGGGAAGAAAGAGGAGGAGGAGGAGGAGGAGGTGGAGGAGGAGGAGGAGGAGGAGGTGGAGGAGGTGGAGGAGGAGGTGGAGGAGGAGGAGGTGGAGGAGGAGAGAAGGAGGAATAGAAGGAGGTGGAGGAGGAGGAGGAGAAGGGGAGTGTTATGGTGTAGTGGTTGATTCACTCCATTCTCAATCCAAGGGTTGAGTGTTCGAATCCAAGCTCGACACTAACGTCCTTTGGCAAGACTTAATCAACATTCACCATAATCCACCCAGATGTAAATCTAAAGACAACAAGAAGAAAAAGAAGGTGGGGGAGGGGAGGAAGTGGAGGAAGAGGAGGAGGAGAAGGAGGAGGAGGAGGAGAAGGAGGAGGAGAAGGAGGAGAAGGAGGAGAAGGAGAAGTAGGAGGAGGAGGAGAAGGAGGAGGAGGAGGAAAAGGAGGAGAAGGAGGAGAAGAAAGAGGAGGAGAAGGAGGAGGAGAAGGAGGAGGAGGAGGAGAAGGAGGAGGAGGAGGAGGAGAAGGAGGAGGAGGGGGAGAAAGAGGAGGAAGAGGAGGAAGAGGATGAGAAGGAGGAGGAGGAGAAGGAGGAGGAGGAGAAGGAGGAGGAGGAGAAGTAGCAGGAGGAAGAGGAGGAGGAGGAGGAGAAGGAGGAGGAGGAGGAGGAGAAGGAGGAGGAGGAGAAGTAGCAGGAGGAAGAGGAGGAGGAGAAGGAGGAGAAAGAGGAGGAGGAGGAGAAGTAGGAGGAGGAAGAAAAGGAGGAGGAGGAGAAGAAAGAGAAAGAGGAGGAGGAGGAGAAGTAGCAGGAGGAAGAGGATAAGAAGGAGGAGGAGGAGAAGAAAGAGAAAGAGGAGGAGGAGGTGGAGTTGGTGGTGCCTGGAGGAGGAGGAGGAGGAGGTGGAGGAGGAGATGGTGGAGGAGGAGGAGGAGGAGGAGATGGAGAAGGAGGAGGAGGAGGAGAAGGAGGAGGAGGAGAAGGAGGAGGAGGAAGAGGATGAGAAGGAGGAGGAGGAGAAGGAGGAGGAGGAGAAGGAGGAGGAGGAGAAGTAGCAGGAGGAAGAGGAGGAGGAGGAGGAGAAGGAGGAGGAGGAGGAGGAGAAGGAGGAGGAGGAGAAGTAGCAGGAGGAAGAGGAGGAGGAGAAGGAGGAGAAAGAGGAGGAGGAGGAGAAGTAGGAGGAGGAAGAAAAGGAGGAGGAGGAGAAGAAAGAGAAAGAGGAGGAGGAGGAGAAGTAGCAGGAGGAAGAGGATAAGAAGGAGGAGGAGGAGAAGAAAGAGAAAGAGGAGGAGGAGGTGGAGTTGGTGGTGCCTGGAGGAGGTGGAGGAGGAGGTGGAGTTGGTGGTGCCTGGAGGAGGAGGAGGAGGAGGAGGAGGAGGAGGAGGAGGAGGAGGAGGAGGAGGAGGAGGTGGAGGAGGAAACAATTCTCAGACGGCCCAACGCAGAACAAAGTGTCGTACAAATAAAACCATACCAAATAAAAACAATCAAACAAATAGAAATATACTTAAAATTGTATTATTCTCTAAAATGGATTAATGAAAAAACGTGTCTCATATCTCATGACACAGATACAATTCAGTTATATACTGTAACATGTCATATTTTTTTCGCATTGATTTATGTCTTGGCAAAATGGGGGTAAGTAGTATAGTAATAATAATAATAATAAATAATAAAACGATGCTTATAAAGCGCTTACCACTGAAGGCTCTAGGCGCTATAACAAACAAAATACAATGTTAAAACAAAACAATATCAAATAAACCTACAACTTACAATACATATGAAATATACATCAATGTGAACAGAGTAAGTTAATCATCAAATAATAAAGCAAGCACGGTTGAGAAGCTCTGGTATAGGATACAATGTGCTCATCGTCTCTATATCGCTCATGGAAAAGAGCGCCCTCTTCTTAGCTGCAGAAATCGTGATTTTTGTGAGATATTATCACTGAACTCTATATAGTACGAGTTCATTGGATATTAATTATAGTAAATTAATTGGATTATCATTGGAAATTGAGTTTCAGTACCGACCCACCTCATAGAAAACCCTTTAAATAATTATCTCGCGTTTTTCACAGTATTGTTATTGTAACTATGTATCATGTATTATATTGTTGTAATTTGTGGGTTACTTTGTATTTTTATTTTTGTTAAGCGCTTAGAAACTGTGTATTAAGCGCTATATAAATGTAATATATTATTATTATTATTAATATTATATACAGTATTAAAAGAATAGGGTACTTACAAAGACTATGCAAAGGTTGAACCGCCTGATTGATTTATGATATAGAAATCATTTTTTATAATTGCTTTGGTTTTTAGGCTCATGTGTGGTTATAGATTGCTGCCTATGTATTCTTTGCAGACGTGAGTATATATTCGGTCCATTTTCGAGCAAGCGAGCGAGCGAAGGGGGCAAGGACATTTTAAATTAATTCCAAATTTTGAAGGTATGTGCGCCTGTGCAATAGATTGCAATGACGATAATGAACATTTTAATGAATATTTCAGGGTCTATTTCATATCATTTTATCTTGTTTTCATACAATAATATAGGCATATATTTGGTTGTAATATACATTATGGTGTGTGCATAAATTCACCAGGAAGGGTGGGGCTGATGACCCAAACATCACTTTTGTAAAGTCGCGTAGATTCGCGTAATTCATATTTAATGAAGCGAGCGTGTTGATAGAGCTCAGTAATAATAGATCGGGGAGTTCCCTGGTACAACCAAAGAGAACGACGTCAGCGTGCATCTTATCTAATAATGGGGCGTACGTATAGATGGTCGTTTCGATCCAAATGAATCATATTTATTTGAATGAGAATTAATTTTATTTAAAAGGATGCATAATGAGAAAACTAAAGGGCCGCTAAAAAACTGACGGCATATATACAAATGTCCAAAGATTGAGACAATTATTATTAATGACACTAATATTAAAAATAATGGACATTTACATTTTGAAAAAGGGCACTTTTGATCGAGATAGCCCGGAGATAGCAACCTTCTAAAAAAACCCACCAAAGACAATTGTGGGGGATACTCTTTCCCCTTGTCCCCTCCACCTCCGGGTTCCGGCTACGCCACGCTGCAAAAAAAAACTGGCAAATGTGTACTGTCTGTCTCTGATGCAAACCCGCCGTGGCCCCCGTGCTCCTCCGTCAATGGAAAAGTACCTCGATTGAGGATTTCGATGACGAAATTCACAAATTGTATTTCAGAGCACATGTCGCACTGCGCCAACGTTGTATTTGATTAAGGGGGTGTGTACCTAGCTGATTTGACCATATAAGGAAACTAAAATTCCATAAAAGGAAACCCCAACATCGTCATTGCTTCTATATTTGGTATGTCCTTTTCTTAATATGGACTGATGGACGGGAGAGGGCGTTATAAAAGTTTTTTTTTCATTTTCTCATTGCGTAGTATTTCACACGTGCATGCATGCTGTAATACATGTACGAACGGTACGAAGATTCGATGATTACGTGACACCGGCACCGGAGCCTCGCCATATACCTTACATGTGTTATGCATTCACGTACATGTACTTGTGTATGCAATGTCAATGAGAAACTCTGGAGAGCTCTAGCTATGTGATCATTGAAAAGCTGAGAAAAAAGGGATACACAAACAGAAAAAGTGGTAAGAAAAATGTTATGCGTGCCGATAATCTTATGAGTCAGAAAAGTGGAATAGATTGATAACAAACCATCCTCGTAATTTTGTGACATAATATTTGTTACCGACGAGAGTGAACATGCATGACATGATCGTGATGTAGAGTGATTCTGTGCGAGTGAGATGAGACGACTGTGCTGTGCGACTCTTGATCAAACTCATGTCATGTGCACTGCGAATAATATAACTCACCTGCACAACTAGTACAACTTAAAGTTAAAGATCTGCTTAGCTTAGCCAGGTCGAGAACCAGAGCCATCAGTATTCTGTAATCACTGCATCACACCATGGCATCAGTGCATCACACCACCAGTGCAACATGTCCAAGAGACGTGATGTTCATGCTTATTAATATTAAATGTAATTGGACTGTTGGTTGTAGTCTATGTGAATCTATTCTAGACTAGACTAATTGACTTTTGTCAGTTGGAGAGATGGATGATGCATCATGATGTAGGCGTTACATTAGTTTGATAGATCTACCCGCCTACAACCTGCATAGCGGCCGGTAGGCTGGTACGCAGTTTGCTTTAGGCCTGCTTGAGTCTGAGTCTGAGTTCATAAAAGCATAAACCGAACAAAACTTCCATGTTTAGATCTAGATCTAGTCTAATTGCACTCATGATATTTAGTTTAGGTCAAAAGTATTTCAAAATTTTGTTGAAACATTAAAAAAGATGTTACGGATTTTCTATTTGTTGTCTATTTTATTACCTGCTGACTTGAAAAATGAAGATGAAAACTCAAATCTTTGATATGGTCCAAAATGTAAGATGGATGTAAAATTGCGATCTGGCCATTTTTTTTGTAAAGTTAGCCAAAAGCAATGGTATCGCCAAGGAGGTGAGACTGCCTTGGTATCGCTGAGAGGACAAAATAGAAACAAAATAAACCCAAGTGCCGCTGCGTACGCGTGCCAATGGCGCATTGCTAACGCGACATTTATTATATTTCACCAGATCCAGTTAATTATCGATAACAAAAACAAAGAAATAAATTCCATATGATCAAGATGATGGCAGACAGAATTAAAATCGAAGGAATTACTTCGAGAGTCCTTCTAGACTATAGATGAATGCTGAGGTTTAAGGAAATGCCTGTACACATGTACATGTACATGTATGTAATTAAAGGGTACAGAATGAACCCTATCTGGCACTTCAAAATGAGTAGAATAATCTAATCTTTACTCTTGATAATTGTTAATTAATGGAGTTATTCCTTTAGGAGCTCACTCGGGAAGCTATACTGGGATGGTAGGTGAAGCCTACAGGAGTTTGCATCATTCTAATGAAAGGTAGAACAACCTCCTCGAAGTAGGTTGTTCCTTTTGCATTGAAGTGGAGAACTCTACTAAATGCAGCAATAGGTTCTACTTGATTGCAGCATGGACCTACATGTAGCACATACAAATTGTACATGTATGATGTAGGCCTGTGTAGAAGTCACCTTCAACTACTACCCAAAGCTATGTGGAGAGGAGATCTGCAATTCATCTGGATGATCATTGTATCCGAGTTCAAAAGCTCCATTTACTTTGCAGGGAGATAAGTTTACTATTGCCCTTTGCCTGTGTGTAGACACAGGAGGCCCTCATTGTTGACCTTGTATAAACTGTGTCAGTGTATTGGAAGAGTATTGTGACCTTTGGTATCTCACAATCCATTGTATCTTTAGGTTACCCTTTGGTAAGATAGAATTAGCCAGTTGGTGGATTACTGATACTCAGTATTAATCAGCTCAATCCCTTCAGGTTGGTACATACATTGTACATGTGCATGTACTTGTATGAGGCCTAAAAAAAAAGATGTTGTATTGCCCTTTGCGATCGACCTAAAAAATCTTGAAATCTACAGTCTGCTTTTTAAAAAAGTTTTTTTTTACCGTTTTTTTTTAGAAAAAAAAAGTAAAACTGAAAAATATAAGCCCAAAGAGGGAGTTTAACAAAAAGAAAGAAAAAGATTTTTGACCGACTGACCAATGTTTTGGCACCTAAAGGGCAATACAACATCTTTTTTTTTTAAGGCCTGATGGAGAGTTGTGTGTCCGGACAAACATAATAAAGTCACCACTATTTTATTTGGATTTATGCATGCATCAAATAGCACTAACCATCATAAATATTTATCCTTTGTGATATTGAGTAACATAAGTCTTTGAAGATTTATGAAATATTGCGTGCAAACTTCACTCTTTACCGTTTAAATCAACTGTCTGGATACACAACCTGTCCGGACACAACTTCTGGGTATAATAGCAAAGGCCTGGCTGTTGGTACTGGCTAAGTACTAGTATAGAAGGGTACCATCATGAGCCGTACCAGACCTGTATGTCCATGTGCATGAACTTTGGGGCCACATCATCGTGAAAGCCAATTTGCAATCTGCCTGTGAGGGCCATGAACAACTGTGTAGTGTAGTGGCCATTAATTCCTTTTTTTCATTTTCATTTTTGTAATAATGACTTGAGTTTGCCTATCCCGGCTTGTTGGTATATACTACATTATATGTAGCTCACTGCAGCATTGAGTAGAAAAATTAGAACATGTTGTTAAGTGAATGTGGCCAACAACTGCAGTGGCTATACTGTACAGGTACGTACATTGTACAGGTATGTACATAACAAGTAGTAGCCAGGACAGAGGGCTACACCTGTGACAGCCGCATCAATTTTCTTCTGCATACATTATCAATGCCTGGATATTCCATGGTGTTATTTGGTGGATATGGCTGATTTTCAAAAGGATCTAAAAAGTGAATGGTTATCATGTGGCTCTTCGACAGCAACATGCAGACGTATTATGTGTATACCCCCCCCCCCCACCCCCATGTGCACGTCGAAGCTCACCTTTGAATCATGACTTTCAGGAAGTCAAAAGTTTAACAATTATTCTGAACTATATTCTAAACTAAACAAAATTTCTATCACTTTCTGAATTTGGTCACCTAAGTATTAGGTAAGGATTTCCGTTGAGCATTGTGTAGAAGGAATTTTTAGTAAATTCACACATACATGTACATGCAGTGGCAATAAGCCAGTTCACGGTTGCAGTCTGAGCATGAGCAGATAAAGGTCATTGCAGAACAAATTTTGAAATACACTGAGACGTTATACTGGATGCGTGCTCATGAAAGTTATGTGATCATTATTCATTCATGCACATTCAATGAACACCATGATACACAGGTGGAAGTATTCTTTGAAAAGGGGAAACAAAGGTTATCTATATATCGCTGTAGGAGTGATTATTTCAAAATGTACAAAGTGAGACGTCTTCATGTTTTGAAGATCTGTGGATATTCGGGGTCATTGCAGTGATGTGCTAACCGTGAACTGGTCTATTGTTCTGCAGTTAATAAACCGATAACTTCAATCTTAGACCTAACAATATCCGTTACTCTAAACTGACTAGAATCATGTATTAGGTTCATGCTAGAATATACCAATTGCATGTCAAACTTTGCTCCATTATCTTTTTTATTTTTTATTTTCATTTTTTATGTTTATTTTTATTTTTAATTAAAAAACAAAGAAATAGATGCAAGCAAATGTCTGATCAGCAAAAAATACTTTTTACACATGTACATGGAAATACTGCTACTCATGTATGCCTTAAGTATTAAGTCTTGTAATTACATGTATGGGCAGGCATAGAGTAGATCTCACTCTCGTGAAACCGTACTCTAATTATAAACTTTGCCTTGTTCTATATCTTGTATACATGCCCTTGAGAAGAAGGTCAGGTGGCCTGACCACTGTCCGTTAAAAACTTAAAATCAATAAACAATCCTTTCTCTCGGACTAGGATCAATGGATAACAAGGCCACCTGAATGAGAGACTAGACTAACTGAATGCATTGTGTTGCACTGTGTAATCTGGTTTTACAAAAGCAGGCTTAATCGTATTCTGAAGTTACGTAAATAGTAACTTTTGCTTTTAAGTATTGAGCTTCTAAGAATCCATAACATCTAATTTCCTCTGCAAACACCCATTGAATACGGATCATCGTGGTATTTGGTAGTTTAAATTCAGGGGCAGACATAGTGACCTACGAATGCAGTATGCATAGGTCAAAGGTCATTAATGCTCTACGGACATGTGTAGTCTCTGAGTCATTATACGAAATATAAATGAAACAGCCTCTTGAAATCAGTTGGTTCTCCTGATCTCATTTGCATTTGCATAATTATGCAATACACTTTATCTCGTACTGCCAGTATAAATCATGATCTGATTAAATGCAATATAACTCTAACTGCCAGTAGGAATCATGATCTGATTATGTAAGAAGCTATTTTGATACTGGCTAGTTCAGTATGTGTTGCATTCAAGTGCACACAGCTGCAGGGTTGGTATCAAGATTTAAAAAAGAATGTTGTGATTGAGTGAGGCCGTAACGGCTCTTATTACCCCTCAGCAAGGGTCAGGAAGGGGAGGTCAGAAAGGTAAAGTGAACAAAGGGTTAGGACCAGGAGGGGATGTCCGATGGGGGCTAAAGGCTGAAGGGGGGATCTGTTATCAATGGATCACATGTCCCTCTCGTGAATGGCATGGATACCGGAGTATTTAGGGCCTCGGGATCCTGGAGTTTTCTCAAGTGCAATTCCATCCTTATATGGTGATGCTCTCTGAACTTGAGGTAGCCGTAAATCATTCTTCTTTGAGGTGTAGTGGGCCAACCAACATTTTGTTTATCAATGGAAAGGAATGGTTTGAGTGATTTGTATGCACTTTATTCATCAAGAGCTATTATTTCATACAGGTTACGGGGTGATGTACACATAGGCCTATCATATTACCTATTCTTGCCGGAAATATTGTTGGCAAACCCGGACTTTAGTGCCCAGCTGAAAATCTCAGTTTATTATGGATTTAATATCAATAATATTAATTATGCTAATATATGCAAATATAAACATACCAAAACTTGATGATTTTTAATCATTTGACGTCATAAAAAGCA